TAGTTCCCCAGAACCAAAAAATCAATGGACAGGCTTGGTCTTCCGGTCGAGCGCGCACCTGGCCGGGCCAAGGTGGTTGGTGCAATCCGCCCAGTTCAACGTAAGTAGGTTGCCATGGACATAATTTGGGGAGGATATGGAAAGACTTAACGGCACGGGACACGGGGCACATGAGCAGCCATGTCCACCATTTCGAGTCCGGGACTCATTAACTATGGTGGTTTCCGCTACCCCTAGTTGCTCATGGGATTTTTAACTCCTTGGAAGAAGTGATTTGAGGGTAGCAGTTTCCGCATCTTAGACTGAATGATCGCAACCAAGCTTCACCGCTTTTTTGGGAGAAGTGGTTTGAGGGTCGCAGTTTCTCCATCATAGCATCAAAGATCACCAAACACTCACGCGGGTTTGAAGAGAGAGGCATCCTCATCTTCTTGCCGGGAATTGGGGAGATCAGCGATCTGCAGGAGCCCGGGCCCCCAGAGCCCAAGCTTTGGTTATGGCCAGAGAGAGCTCCCAGGTTTCTCCAGTCCCATGACTTGTCCCTAGCAACTATTGCTTTCTATTGGTTTAGTGTTGGTTTTGAAGCTCGTTGAATTCAGATATTTCCAGACCTCCGGTGAGTTTCGTCCATTTTCATGTTTCGTTTTCTTTTTTCGGGGAGGGGGAGCCCTTTAGAATCAACCACCAAAAAACGAGTGCCAATGACTGACTCCCATAGACATCTACTGGGACCCGGTCGTGTCTAAGGCTTCAGGATCGCAATCCGCCAACCTTTTCTTTCACATGAGTGCGAGCCCCTTTTCGGAGTGGTTTCAAAGGGAAGCCCAAAGGAAACTGACATATCTCCAGGGTCCAAATCCGATTTTGAGACACACACACACACATTGATTTGGATACTTCCTGCCTGCTTAGAGGGGCTGGCAAGAGACCGTTTTCGCAGGGCCAGACACAAAAAGCGACGCTCCACCCAATCTGCATTGATAAACATGCAACTTTGTCCAGGGCTCAGATGTGGGTGTGCTTTTTTGGGGTGCTAACCGAAAGGACATCACCCATTTTAAGGGTTCCCTTATATTGAGACAAGCCCAACCAGTGTTTCCCTAGTTCAGTGGATTGCACCAATTCTTTGATCATGCGGATCGTAGATTCGGACCTCTGCTGAGTGACTATGCTCGAAACACAGCCGGGCTATCCGTTTCCTATGTCTGTCTGAGGCATTCAAAGAGAAAAAGCCCCATGTTCTTTGGAACACGGGGAACCCGCCATAGTTTGAGCACCCCATATCCCAAAAATGTGGCAACATAAAGCGACGACCAAGCCGAGCAACATCGGATCTGAGGACCCTGATGCCCCTGGAAGACTCCGAGAAGCAGGCAATCGGAGGACTTCAGTGGCTCAGACCTCCATCGGGGACCTGGTTCTCTTCTGAGCCTTTTTTGTTTGGAGGGCCGTGCTCCTAGTGGCTTAGACCCATGACCTTTTTCTCTTGATTTGTTTTGGAGGGCCATGCTCCTTTGGACTGGGGTTGGTCAACCAAAGTAGGGGGGTACCGGGACCCAAAACTGATGGTTTTCCTTGTGGTGTCCCCTGAAAAGCAAAGCAGAAAACTGTTCTATCTCTAAGAAAGGCACGCCCAAATCAGCTTCCCAAAAAAAGAGTGCCGAATCTGTTTTTGCCCTTGGACATGCATTGGGGGTCTTGGCGGGGAGGCCTTCTAAAACGATGAGATATGGTCATGGGGATAGGATCGGTCGTGGGGATGGGAATCCCCACGCTCTGATTGACTGTGGAATTGGCGGAGGGGGGTGACCTCGGGAATTTCATGTCTGGTTTCTGTTTCGCTATGGGATTTTGGCAGAGTTCCATTTTGGGCCGACCTGGAGTCTCCATGACCCTTCAAAAATGGGGTCAGTACCCAAGAATAAGGGGTTCACAACCCCTTTTTCTAGGGTCTGTAGGTATTCCGATTTTCGAGCACCCATTTAAGGTCAAAATTATGTAATTACCCAAAATGGAACCCTGCCAAATGGACCCAAGCACCAAAACCTGCGGTCTTCTGGATGTTTCATTTTGACCCATACCCATTTGACCCGGAAAAGTCACAGTCGAGCTCGCGTAGGCGCACATGAGCTGGCAGCCCGGCATGGAGCGGCACGACTGCCACTTCAAGGCACCGCGAGAAGTCTTCGACCCTCGGGGGCCGAAGGATTTTTTGGGGGTCGAAGGGGCCGCGTCCGACGGATGGGTGCGACATTCGTCGCCACCTTGGAAACCACGGTTGCAACCATAACGTTTGCTAGTTTGCAGGGGAGTCAGCAGAAACCAGGGTTTCTTAAGTACAGGATTTGTGCGAAATCCAGAAGTCGCACCGCGAAATGAGTGACCATGGTTGAGCCCACGGTTTGTTACGGTATTTACGTTGGCGAATCGAATCAGAAGCTAGGGTTTCAGAAAGGTGGTGCGAAATGGATTTTGAAACCATCCCATCCATCCACAGTATTGATAGGAGGTGTTTCCTCCAATGGTGATGAACCCCCCACCAAAAGGGGACAAACACCCATTTCTCAAAGTCAACCAGGGGTTTTAATAACTTGGTGGCTCCCAGCCATCCCCTTAGCTTTTTAGCTTTCTAGTGTTGGTAGTTTCCATTTAACCCACTAAAAGTTAGTCACTTTGAGCTGGGGATCTGAAGGCAGCCCAGATAATACGGAGTTCCCATGAGTTTGTCAGACTTCAGGGCGTTTCTGGACACTCGCAACTCGCAACCTCCGATGTCTTGTCCTTTGCCCCATTTCGGGGCACCTTGGCTGGTCCGTTGGGCGTGCCAACATTTTGTCCCTCGACCCAGGGGCACCCAAAACCAAGAAAAAGGAAGTTGTTTTTTCTAAAAACCAGTTTGTTTGCAGGTTTACTCTAAAAACACATGTTTGTGTTGTTAAATGATGAGCGAAGAACGTGTTCTTCCATTTGCTTAATAATACGTATCATGTTCCCTCGTAGTCGTTTCAAGAGAATCTAGCACTGGACATGTAGTTTATTTCTCCAGGGGACGTATCAGAAAATGGAAGTACTTCCAATTGCAAATAAACATGAACCCCAGGAAAAAAACACGTGTTTCTTCTTGTTGTTTTTGGGGTGCATGCTAACCTGCGGGAGTGTATTCTTTGGTGCATTCTGCTTGGATGTTAGGACTTTAACTTTTTGCCAACTAATGAATTGTCCATTAAACCGCTAAAAGTTAAACTTTTAGCAGGGGAGCAGACAGCTAGTCTGGCCAAGTTGCAGGTCTTCGTGCTCCACTCCTTGATCCCGAAGGTGCGGGGATTTGGATCGAGAGTCTGGGAGAGGCGCTGGGCTCTCCAAAATTAGGTCTTATGGGTGTGGGTCAAAAATAGGAATGGAACCCTGGCAAGTGGAAGGGCCTAAAAGTGGTTGTTTGTTAAGGAAGCTAAAGGGAAAACCACATTTATTGATCCCCCAAAGAAAGATAACGTCAAACATATGCTTCAATTTTTCAGGGTAGACTGTGAAGAGTGAGAGCGGATATTTGTTGGTCAGTGGCCACATTTCATGGGAGCCGAGCCTGCAGCTGTTCGACCTAAACTGAAGGCAAAGAGCAGGAGGGACTTTGGATGGGTCTCAACACAGGGGCCATGTTGAAGGCGTGATGTGCTTTTGGTTTGCCACAAACACATCCAAAAAGTGTTGGGTCCAAAAAGGGGTCCCCTATTTTGAGACGAAGCCTATGTTCAGAGTCTTTTTGGGATGGTGCGCACACCTGTTCGTCATTCCGGAAGCCTTTTTCATTGAGCACCTGAATGTGTCCTTGATGCATTCCAATAGGCCCGTGGGTCTATCTTTGCTTTTGGATCCATCTGATTCCAGCGGAACCAGTGCACTCACTCCTAGGGTGGGTCAGAAAGTGAGCGGCTTTTGCTTGGACTTTTGTGACAATGTAGACCGAGTACAGCATTGGGACCTTTCTAACCAAAGGACCAACACCCAACACCCGTTTTTGGCGCAGGGTTGTACAGCATGTGGATGTTAGCGTGCTCTGAGTGCTTGCAGGCAAGAGGAGTGGCATTTGGGTGGGCCATGTGTGCCTCTTTTGAGGGTACCCCCTTTTCGCGTGGTGTTAAAGGAAACGTGATCACCTTGTATTTCTGCGTCCCAACTGGGCAAGTGAGATCTTGTCGTAGTTTGGATTGGTTTGGATTTAAAAGTGAACCCCTCCTTGAGGGTGCATGGGAACCACCCTTCAAAACCAAAGCGCCAATCCAGACCAATCCAAGCCATCCAGCTGATTTCTCTCTTTAGCGTCTGTGGGAACCCCCCGCGTCGGGAACGGTGAGGACGAGCAGGAGGGCGCCGTCTTTGATCCTCCACCCCCCGACACGCCCGGAACCCCGGAGCCACCAAAGGACAGAGCGCCCGAAACGATCAATATGGCACCATTCTGCTTATTTATAGACATGTTATATATACATAAGGGGTTTATCAAAAGGTCCTTTACATGGGATGACCATTGAGGGCAACCACTGAAAAGATGCCACGAAATGGGTTACGCATGGTCCTTTCAGGGCCCGGAATATTGATCAATAGATAGACCGATAGATTGATAGATATAGTCAGAAATCATATTAATTGATTAACGAACTAAAGTAGATTAGTTAGACGATGGTAGATACATGCATAGGCAAGATTAGATTAGGTTGGATTAGACAGACGGACAGGCAGACAGACATACATACAGATGGATACATAGATATATTTATAATATTTAATATGTATCAATAAATATATATATATATTATACACATGTATGTATGTACCTCCAGAAAGTTGGCCAAACACCGGCGCAAACTGGCGATTTGGTTGATATCCTGGATACTTTCTTGGAGTTTGTTTCTAGGTGCTTTGCCCAGAACTATTCCCGTTTTTACCCTGGGCTGGTTCTTTTCCGAGGTGTGTCCCATTTTGGGAAGGATCGGGGCGCATAAAAATGACTGAAGCAATATGCGACCAAACGCCCCCATGGGGGCATTTTCTCTTGGGCTTAGTCGCACGGCTGTAGAGAAGTGCCAAGCTCTGGTGGGGATTGCCGCCGTACGAAGGAAGCCAAGAGTGAGATAGGTGAAGTATTCAACAACATATGGTTCAAAGGGTTGGGTCGGAATGGTTTCCCTGGAAGTCTATGGGAAAAACAACAACAGCTTCCGGGGTCCTAGAGATGCTGTGAGTCAACTCTCGGGATGGTAGGGAAAACAAGCATGATACCCGGCCCTCCAGCGAGGATTTGTTTAGGTTTAAAATCAATTTCCAAGAGAAAGAGTTCAAGGTTTGTCCTGTCCACGGGTTTTCGGAAAAGTGGTATACGGTACATCTTAGGAGCCAAGTTGCTGGATCGCATGTCGCATATTTCTGCGCAAATGATGGAAAGGGTAGAACTTGCCCATTCATGATGAAGGTGTCTTACCTTGGAAGGTGTTTTTTGTTGGTTCTTTTGTTTTTCCGGCTTATGAACCATAGTATAGTACGTCATGCTGGCTTCTTTTGGACTGAGTCTGCAGTTTGCTTTGCTGCACGGCATTTTTCAAGTCTTATCGGCTCAAGCCCCCAACCTGCTTTGGGTGTGGGCCTCCTCAGAATAATGACTGGGGCTGGTGAATGGCTTGTTGGACAGCAAGTTTCTAGTTGCTGCTTATAGAGAAGCTCAGACTGGTGATCCACTTTTAGTAAAACTTCTGGATGCTTCGGGCAAGTGGGGAGGGAAAGCGCATTTGATGCAGTCATGCAGGAGCTGTGATGTGTTTTACTATGCATGAGCTTCTGGTAGAAAGAGGGATAGTGCTACATGTGCCGCAGGCTCACACGTTGATAGTTGACACTTGTTGATAGCCTTGAGTGCGATAGATCATGAATCATTAGTTGTATACTACATGTATGTTGCATGACAGTGATCAGACGGCGACATATGTAAGGTGCGTCCGCTCCGGTGCCACCTGATTCAGAGGCACTTGGACGGTCAACTTGCGTCAGTAGGACCAGAAGGATGCTCTTTGATGCATTGGTGATTGTCACACCAGTTGGAAGGGTTCTTGTGATGGAGATGATGGGGCTGTGATTTGAATTAGCACAGTGTTGTCGATTGGTGTCACCCAAGGTGGCCATTCCCAGTCAAGGTCTCATCAAGCGGCAGCCAGCAGGGGTATAAGTGAAGTACGGCTTTTCGAGCCACACAGGGCGTGATGACTATGACACGTACGCAGGCGCACACACACACACAGACACACAGACACACAGACACACACACACAAACACACACATACACACAAACACACACACACATACACACAAACACAAACACAAACACAAACACAAACACACACACACACACACAAACACAAACACAAACACAGACGCAGACACAGACACAGACACAAACACAGATACAAACACAAACACAAACACAAACACAAACACAAACACAAACACAAACACAAACACAAACACAAATACACACAGACACAGACACAGACACAGACACAAACACAAATACAAACACAAACACAAACACAAACACAAACACAAACACAAACACAGACACAGACACAGACACAGACACAGACACAGACACAGACACAGACACAGACACAAACACAAACACAAACACAAACACAAATACAAACACAGACACAGACACAGACACAGACACAGACACAGACACAGACACAAACACAAATACAAACACAAACACAAACACACGCACACCTTTCTGTCCATGATAGCCCTGCTTCTTGGAACAAGCTTTAAACCCGGCCCTTCAGGGTTGCTCCGAGCCTCTAACAAGCTCAGGTCCCCTTGAAACCTCCCGGAACCCTCTGCAACCCTCCCTCAAAGGACTCCGAATCACCGAGCTTCTTTGGGCCTAGCGACACCAAAGCTCCCAGGGAAACGTAAGGAAATCACTCACTTCCTGAGTTCATGAACTTTAAACTTTTTGGGAAGACCATAGGCGTCTCGGCTCTGGGGTTTGCCCGAGACCCAAGCGTGGCCTGAATAGCTGAGCCCGCATCTTTTTCCTTTTTCCTGCGAAGCCATAGTGCGTTCTTCTGAAAGCGCTCTTCACAGGCGCGCCAGACGCAAACGCACTCGTGCAAGGATCATACTCATCCTTAACAGCAGGACACCGCCGGAGGTCAACCGACACACTGTCAGCTGGGCACGATCTACGCTGAGAGCACACCACTCTTGGAACAGAAGTGCACACATGCGCTGGCAATGCATGCAATGCTCTGGCACCAATGGTGAGCATGCCGAATACTGCGGAGGATGTGGATCACACTGGTCCAACTGGGCAACGCCCATGACATGGCACCAGCAACGACAGCCCCGCAAGACCTCGAGGCCACCACCCACGTGGAATGCCAAAGGCAAAGGCAAAACCAAGAAAGGCAAAGGGAAAGGCAAAAGCCGAAGCCCCTCAGCAACCAGCAACAAGCAACGCAGTGAGAAGGAACCAGAGAACCCTGCGTTTCCCAAGCCACCACAAAGCAATGCAAGCCATCGAGCCAGATCCCCAACTACCACGTATCAATCCCAGCACGGCAACACAGGATGTGACAGTCCTGTGACGACCACCAGCTGGGAGGATGTCACCAGTGCAGCCAAGGAGGATTTCAAGTCGGACCTACAGCAGAAGCCAGTCAAGCCTGACATGACACCAGTCAAGGAGACAACCCTGCAGACCGACAAAACCAAGCTGCTCGAGGCCATCAAGCAAACATACGGCAAAAGCACTGCAGAGAGCATCACAGCCATCTTAGCACAAGATGAGGATGAGAAACCGGTTCCATCACAAGTGCACAAAGCAGGAAGACAGCTAGCAAAAGCACAGCGCAATGCAACCAAGGCAAGAGACGCACTCCACGCCCTTGATGAGTCATGGACTGCCTTTGAGACCAGCATTAATGCTCGATACAAAGAACAGTGCCAGGCATACAGCTCAAGCAAGCAACAGTGGACCGAGGTGCTCAACAAAGCCATGGATGATGAAAAAAGCGCCACAAGCCAACTGCACTCCCTAGCTGCACAGATTGAAACCAGAGATGATAAGCTTCCATCACAGGACAGCACAGCTCTATCCGAGCTTCCAGGCCTCCAACTCCCGCCAGCACCTACGCCCATGGAAGTTCAAGAGGACCAGGATGATGACCCAATAGAGCCTGTCACACCAGCAGAAGCACCAGACAAGCCAACACAGCTTGAGGACAAGCAGAACAAAAGCAAAAAAGCCAAAGATCGGGGTCCCAAGGAGCGCCCGAAGAAGAAACCAAAAGCCGACGAAAAGATCAAGCAGTCCCCACTCCAGTTCAAGCAGAATGCCGAGCCCCACAAGCGTGAGCGCAGCAGATCTGCCAGCCACAGCCGCTACGCATCGCTGCAGAAAAATGGAGATGAGGAAGAAGATGAGGATGAGAAGCAGGGATAGTGTGCCTTATGAGTGATGCCATCCAGGAAGCATCACTCAGGAATACCCATAGACCTGGAAATTGTCCAGTTGACAGCACCCGTGAGAAGCACAAAGAAAATGCCGCTGCAACTGTGAGATTTAAAACCACTCCTGAAACCCTGTTTTTTCTTCCCAAAGCACCCCTGAATAAAAGGAGACAAGAGGTACCAAGCAATGCCAAATTGCAGTCGTGTCTCAAAAGCCGCAGCCGTGTGCCGAACCCAAGCTCCAGTGACAGCATGAGGACCATCCACCTATGGAGAGCTGATGCGCAATCCACTCGCCCTCAACGTGTCCTCGTGCCGATGTACTGTTTCAGTCCATTCTGGAGCATGTCACCAACACGGAGGATGTCAGGTACGTGAAGATTGACCCAGAACCGACAACGTTGGGATGGGGAGTTGAGAAACCCATCAAAAGCGAGACCATTGATGCCTACCTGGCCTGGTCTCCTCACCACTTCCAGTGGATGAGACACCGCATGCTTGTTCCGGCACTGTTGCAGAATCATCACAAGCACTCACCTGGAGCCCCGCATCGGATCACCCACTGGCCCATTGCTCTTCCAGCACAGTGTACCCGTGACCATGTGCTCCAGCAAGCCCTTGCAGGGGAATATCCAGATCCCCACATGCAGGTCCACATAAAGACTGGAGGATGCCTGTGGCCAGAGAATGACACCCGAGTGCGAGATCTACACTCTGGCATCCTTGTCGAGGCAACATGGGGACACATTCCAGCACCAGTCCATTTCACACCGAGTGCAGGAAGCAGGCCGGCCGACCATGTTGATCACACACCCACCGAGAACATCTTGAATAGGATCAATGTAGACACTGTACTACAACTCACCACTCAAGTTCTTGATCCATGGCCCAATCACATAATTTCCCTTGCCACAGAAAATATTCCGTGGCATCACTCCACCATAGAGGAGTTCAAATACCTCAGAACGTGTCTGGACCAGGAACCCATCGGTGTCACGTTCTACACTGATGGTACATTCAGAGATCCAGTTGAGGACGAAATCTGGGGCAAAGGATCTTGGGCTGTTGTAATGTTGTGGAACATGCCGGATCAAAGTCGAGTGTGGGGAGGACACATTGCTGGCCACACCAATCAACCCGATAGTGCATTTCCAGTTGAACTTGAAGGTTTAATGTGTGCATGTCTGTGGGCAATTCAAATTGTGGCTCACTTCAGTCCTGAAATTGAAATCACATTTCGATATGACTCCAATGAAGCTGGAAGAATGTGTCAAGGTAGATCACGCACCACCAGCAAGCATGCGCTTGGCAGTACTGCTCGTAGTCTGTTCCAACTGCTTGAAAATTGGAGAATGCCAGAATACATCCATGTTAAAGCGCATTCAGGTGAACCCTTCAACGAAGCAGTTGATGTCCTTGCTGGTCAAGCCTGTGCAGGCCTGATCCAAGTGAGTAGCAGACACATCACGCAGATCCTTTGCCAGTTGCGTGCGGATTCGAT